AGAGTTCCTAATGTTTAGGATGCATACTGAATTATTTATGCATGAACTGGTATGTCTGGGAATTGTTTCCATAGGATCTGGGTGTGGGGAGGGAGAGGAAATGAGATTGGCCTCGTGCTGATAACTGCTGAAGGTAGGAGGAAGATTTTGCTATCTTCTCTCTCTAGTTTTGTATCTGGTTATTTTATGTTCTGTTATCTGTGTGAATCCATAATTGAGCGTCAAATCGCAGCAGTACCCCCAGATTTCACTTGCAAAGTTTACATGGTGGCCCAAAGTAGTTTGTTAACACAGCGGACAAACTCACCATCCTGTAATGCACTCACCAGTAATTGCCCCATTCAATCATGGTTCCGGGCTGGGAAAAAAAAGATATAAATTTTGGTTTGTAAGCTTTTCTGTGAAATACGGATAGCACCATGAAAAAGATCAACTGAGAATAACGGACGCAAACCTGACTTCTACTGGTGTGAGAAACAAAACAGTATTATTCACCAGGCTCTTACCTACCCAGGCAGGGAGGAAACGCTACAGCTTAGTGTCAAACCCAACCCATGGCCTTTGGGGTCCATTCTGACTTCTAATGATCCTGTCGGACAGGGTCCAACTGCCCCCATGGGATTGGTCCCTGAGGTTGTACTCTTTATGGGAGTAGAATGCCTCATCTATCTCTCACAGAGTGGCTGGTGCTTTCGAACTATTGACCTTGCACCTAGCAGCCCGACATGTAACTCACTACGCCACCAGGGCTCTTCATAAGAAGGCAGCAAATGGAATGCAAGAGTCCAACATCTGTCTACTAGTTAGCAAATCCAGTGAGGTCATCCTTCAGAGGTACCGAGTCATGATTAAACTGGGTACCCCGTTGTGAGAGTCACAGAAGGTTCTAGTTATAATAATCAACAAAGATGGCATTTCGGTTTATCCCTCCTGCAATAAAAACACCACTGAGATCCCACCGACAAGGATTTAACAATCCTGCTACCTGGGGTTGAGTTCTTTCTAGTACTTTCATAGGAGGGCAGAGGTTTGAAAGGGTTACAAAATATGAATCCCCGTTACCATCTCTAAACTCAAACCAGCTCACTGCTATCAAAAGTCAATTGCAAATCACAAAGGACCCTAAGGGACCAAGGGGAAGGGAGAAGGGTACCAAGGGGCCCGTTGGGCTCTGCTGTCAACATCAGTGGATACTCATGCTTCTTCACAGAAGAGAGGGGACACTCGTTGAGTTTCGGTACTTACTCGGAGTTGGTAAGACCTGAGTTCATAGATGTTAGGTCCTGGTCGAGGGGCAGGCTCGTTCCAGAAGCTGAACTCCAACAGGAGCTGATTTTTCCTCGAGAGGAGCATGTTGCCTCTTGCCTTACGGAATTGCACAAATTCCTTGGGGTGGGAAAACATTAGTCTCATGAAGTCTTCTGATACTTTTATACAAACCCATTGGCTGCACAGGAACTAACAGAAGACTGTCCTAAGTAACTCGTTGTTGTTGAGTTGCTTCTGACTCATGGTGACCCCATGCATGCTCTATAGAGCCCCGCCCCCCACCCCCATTCCCATAGGGTTTTCCAGGGTGGATTTTTGGGAAGTAGGCAGCCAGGCCTATGAACTTTGAACTGCTAACCCTTTGGGTAGTGGCTGAGTGTACTAAAACGGTTGACACAATCCAGGGGCTCCCCATCATAAACAGGGTAGCCAACAGGTCTCAGTTGGCCTGGGACGGTCCCACTTTACAGCTGTTGTCCCAGCTTCATGACCAGCAGCCCCCTCCCCTTGACTCTCAAGTGGCAGGCTCGGGAAGACAAGTGATGCCACCCTCGCTGTAATTAAGTAGCTGACAACTGGCTGACAGCTGCCTGGGATGGAACTTCTAGTTTCAGTTGTTTGGTTACTTTGTGCTTGCCTACAACTTCAAGAGTCCAAAGAATGAAACTGTTACTACAAAGAGCAGAAATTAAAAACTAATGGTGGAGAAGATTCAGTTCGCTCTAGAGGACTGACTACCTGTACTGGGCAGTGTCCCGTTCTGCTGTACGGAGGGTCGCCACATAGAACTGCACAGACTCAGGACAGCCGCGATGGCAACTAACAACAACAACAAACAACAACCCAGGCCCCACTGCCATCGAGTCCA